CAGAAAGTGGAGGTGACTTTCCCCAAAGCCCTGCCCCCTCCCTGCCCTGGCCCCTGTGCATAAATGTCCTAACTTCTCTGACTCAGCTTCTCCACCATCAGGGAGATGGTATTAACCTTTGCCAACTACGCTCACATTCTTAGAGTTGCTGGAGCAGATGTCTCAGGAATCAAGGGGAGCGCCCCGGGCTGCCCTCAGTCCTTGCCTCCCTGCCAGGGTCCTGTGGGCTGAGACGGCTCTGTGCACATCTGAGAACAAGGCAAGCCTGCCCTTTCCTTCTCAGCTGATGGGCATAAGCGGGCTTGTGCTGAGGACAAGCGGAGGCTGGGCAAGTCGAGGACCAGGAAATCTGGGATTGAGGGATTTCTGCAGGAGAAGAGGGGCGTGAGGTGGGCGATGGCCGGGGGACTCCACTGCAGCTCTTGAGGTCACATCCGGCGGCCCCTGCTGAGCACTGCTGTGTGCTGAACTGCCTGGGGTGCAGAGAGCTGGTGACTCGGATGGTGAGAGAGGAGTCTGTGTTGGGAATGGCGGCCCCATCTCTGCCGCTGTGTGGCGGCTCTCCTCCACCAGCCGGCTCAGACTTCAGGGGCAGAACTCTGAGGGAGACCAGGAAACCTCATCTCATGCCTGAGCTGAAAAGAAAAGGAGCCAGACTCTGAAGTCTCAGGAAGGAGCTGGTCCTAAAAAGATGATCTGGATTTTGGCCTGCGGAGGCAGTAGAGAGGGCATCCATCACATCACAGGCAGAGGGCAGAGCGGAGTGACCCCAGGCAAGAGAGAGCACGGGAGCCAAAAGAGCTCGCCTGCTGTGGGAGAGGAGGCTGAAGGCTTGGAGTCTGAGCTCCAGGGCCCTGGCTGGCCAGGTGACTCTGTGGGCAGTGGCATCTGCTGTCTATCGGCGGTCCGCAGTCCTCCTGCCGCCCCTGTGAGTGGACGGAGGACCCATCTGGGGGCTAGCTGCATCTCACCTGGACAGACCTCCCTGGCCCACCCTGAGGCGGGCCTGGGCTCCTTGCACACCAGCCTTGCTTTCTGTGGGAACCTGGCGGGCTTGCCTGGGGAGGCTGAGGCCTGTGCTGGTCCAGCCTCTCAGAAGGGCTGTGGTGTCCCTTCGCTCCCCTCACCCAGCACACGCACAGCACACTCATCAGCCTCTGGGTGAGGGTGGGGCGTGGGCACGAGAACCAGCAACACGTTCCGTCCGCAGAGATGGCACAGGTCTTCCCACTTGCTGTGCGTCTCTGGATGCACTCTTCCTTCCCGACCTCAGTTTCTCCATCTATTAAAAGAAAGGCCAGACTTAAGACCCCACACCTCAAAGAAAGAGACGGGGTGACAAAACTCTCAGCTTGGAACCCACCCCAAACCACTGCTCTCTGCTCCAGGGTCAGTGTGAACATGGCAAAGAGGAACTTCCTGTTTTTAAGAGAGGGGTGATTTAAAGGACTCCAAGGACATCTCATTTTTGATGCAAGTACAAAGCAAAAACTTAAAAGAACAAAATCTCAAAACCATGTGGATTCAATTTTCTCCAAAGTAGAGATTTCCTAAGTGACAAATCTGTAGCCAGGGAGAAGGCTGAGGAGAACCAGCCTTAAATGAGGTACCAGTCCACTTGGGGAGGGGCGTGCAGAAGGGAAATTGCCCACTGCCTCATGCCTTACACGGTTCTGCTGCAATCCGGTCTCCCAGCAAAGCAGCCGAGCTCCGGCTCTGCCCCTGCCTGTCACTTCTTCCAGCCCCCTCTCCACCTTCTCCTGAGGAGCTCCACCTTTTTCCTCTTGCATGCAGCCTCCGAAGTTGCCTCAGAATGACCAAGGAGGCTTCCATCCCCCTTCCTCCACTCCTCCCCTAAGTTTAGGCCCCATAAAACCAGAATGTGCCCCCTTTTCTGCCTTTATTGATGCCTCATCCATTCATCCAACCATGAATGCTTGAGTATCTCCCATGAACTAGGCATAATGCTGGGTTATGTGTTATCTTAGCACATCCCTCCCAAGTACAGTGTTAATGCCACTTCCCTCTGATGCCGCACCCCAACTCCAGGGCCTGCTTTGGTGAATGAGCCCTCTCTCCCCACGAATCCCCAGAATTTGGCACCATACCTTATATTAGAGCATATGGTAGCCCATCTTCCAGGATGGTCCCCAATGCTTCTCACCACTCATGCCCTTGTGAGGTCTCTTTCTATACTGAATTAGAGCTCACCTGTGTGGCCAACAGAATATGCCAGAGGTAGAAATATGTGACTTCTGAGGCTCAGCTGTTAATAGGCATTACAGCTTCTGTCTTGGTCTCTGGGATCACTTGCTCTGGGGAAGCCAGTTACCATGTTGCACGGCTGCTCAAGCAGCCTTGTGGAGGGGCCCACGAGGTGAGGAGCTGAGGCCTCCTGCCAGGAACCGGCACCGATTTGCCAGCCATGTGAGGGAGGAAGCAGATCCTCCAGGCCCAGTCAAGCCTTCAGATGACTGCAGCCCTGGCCAACCCCTTAACTGCAGCTTCACGAGCGATCTCAAGCCACAGTCACCCAGCCAAGCTGCTCCCAGATTCCTGAACCTTAATGCTGTGAGAAATTGTGTTTATTGTTATGTTAAGCCCCCAAGTTTTGAGATAATTTATTACAAGGAAATAGACATCTAATACAAGCATAATAGTGAAGAGCATGGACTCCAGAGCTAGATAGTGTTTAGATCCTAGCTCTAAAGCTTTCCATCTCTGTATTCTTTGGTTGGCCGTTTAATCTCCCTGTGCCTGGACATCCTCCTCTGTAAAATGGGGCTGCTAACTGTACCTAACCAAAGTCAAAATCAGTGCGTTAAATCATGTACAGTGCTCAGCACTGTGGTTGGTGCACAGTAAACACTCAACAGAAGTTAACTCTCACCATTGTTCCGGCCTCTGCGTCCTCACGTGTGCTCATGTCTGAGTCGGCACAGAGCAGCTCCTGGCCAGTGCCAGCTGAATGGATGAGAAGCAAATTGCTCTTGCAGAGAAGCCCATCCGCTTACCCAGGACCTCTCTGCCCCAGATCCTTCCTGCAAACCACTCCCTCAAGAGAGCTCTCAGTCTTGAAAAGCTCCAGCGTCTCTTCAGCCCTGGCACTTGGCTGCAGGGCTCCCAGCCCTACCTGTGCTCTCTACCAGCCCCACACACGGACTGAGGGAGCCGTACCTGGGACCCAGCTCGGAGAACACGAAGAAAGAGTGGCACCCCGCCCTGGTTTCTAACTCACACCCAGACACCTCCCAACTGTTTGAGGGCAGTGAGGGCTCAAGGATGCCAGCCAGCACAGACCCAGCCCAGACTCGGCCCTGAGGAACACACAAGGGACCAGGCCAATTCCCCCACTCCAAGAGCAAAGCCAAGGAGTCTTCCAGCAAGGGCACCTAGATTTCATCCATCATACTCCCAACCCCAAGTCCCCCAGCCCAAAGGGAAGTCGCAGGAAATATCAAAAAGTGGATTTTTTTAGAAGAAATTCTTCCACGTACCTGAAGTGTGACCGACTGATTTATTTCCCCTCCTCCTCAACTTCCTCATCCTCAGGAAGAGTGGGGAGGAGGTGCAGGCATTGCCCTGGTGCAGGAACAGGAATCAGCCATCAGGGGCGTGTGGGTCATGGAATCAGCACCGCGGGACAGACTGGCTGTGAAGGTGGGACATGACGTGTATGACTGGGCACTCAAGGACAGCGTCAAACAGAAGCTGACGTCCGTGCGCTCAGTCCCAGGAGTGGGTGGGGTGGGCGGACACACCCATGTGTCCTCATCCCATCTGCTTCAGCCTCAGGGCCCTCTGCTGTGGTGCATGGGGGGAACCTGGAGTTGGGACACCAGACAGCACATCCGCGAAGTCCAAGAAGGCAGGGCCTCGGTAGATGTGTGCTGTGTCGCTGTGTCCTGCCTGCTGCTCCAAAGAGGAGGAAGCTGGGGAAGGAAAGGCAGAGGGGCAGTGAGGAAAGGAGAGCTGGGGGTGGGTCCAAGGGAGCCTGGCAGGCAGCAGCTGGCTCTGTCCTTGCCGTGTAAAGACTCACGGAGGAGGGGCATGTGGGGAAGTGCTCAAGCACTCAGCCCCCCCACCCCACCCCTGGTCAGACAGACCTGGGTGTGACTCCCAGCTCCTCTGTTGGTGAGCTGTGTGAGCTCGGGCATGTTACTTAACCTCTCTGAGCCTGTTTTTTCAACTGTAGAATGGCGATGACACAAGTGTATGCCCCTAAGGATTATGGAGACGGTCTCTGTGAGGTGCCTAGTCCATAGTAAATGCTCAATACACGGAAGCCATAGGTATTACTTCAAAGCATCAAATTAGTGCACCAACGCCAACCCTTGTAGTCAAATGATTTATTTACAAACTCGTCTCTGGTCTCTGCGCTTCCCAGGTGTCCAGCCAGTCCTGCCCCTTCTGCTTAGTGGAGGCACTTTTGGGGCAGCTGCTCTCCACTGGGCAGGTTTCCCAGCTAGGATAGCTGAGTGGAAGCAGCTGGGGTGGGAGGGTCACTTCCCGGGGGTGGGGCTGAACGTAGGGTACAGGCTGAGGTCTCCCCTCTGCTGAGTCACACCCCAGGGTAGAGCCACTGGCTAGCAGGGTGCAGGGTCTTCTTTCCAGCCCAACAGGGGAGCCTGCCGGGGCTTGGAGTCCTCCCGCCGGGGGGAAAATGAAGGCCTGAAGGCTGCAGTCCCAGGCCAGCTCCAGGTCCAGGGCAAACTGAGCTCTGGTAACCTCACCGCCAGCCATTTCACCGCCTGTGTGCTAATCATCAGGTGCTGGGGGCCGTTCTTCGGTCGTCCCTGCCGCCCCCAGCACCTGTTCCGGCGCAGTGAGGCTGCACCAGGCCCGGGCAGCTTCCCTGTGGACTCCTGGCCCCAAAGTGGACAGGCGGGAGGCCCAGGGCTCGTGCGCAGACACTCCTCAGGGCTTCTGTAGTAAGGCACGAATCCTGGAGCACACAGGGCCTGGCCCCCGAAGGCGACGTCGCTGGAGACAAGCGCATCCAAGCCGCTGTCACGGGAGTGCCCCGCTGAGGCCAGTAGGGTGGGGCAGCGAGTCGGCGAGTGAGAGAGCCCAGAGATGAGGTCTGGGCCTGCCGGGCCAGCCTGGGTCAGCAGGAGACAAGATGGTCAGCCAGGCTCCCAGGATTGGCCTGTGCCTCCACTCCACAGTAGCGTAGGGGAAGAAGCCAGGGCCGTACCTTCTACAGAAGGGAAGCACTCGGCGATGTGACGTCACTCAGCCCTCCCAGGGCTCCCAGCTGGGATTAGAACCCACGCATCCCACCTCCTCCATCCTGCAGTCACAGGGCAAGTTGCCGGCTTTGTGGGGCTGGAGTGGCTTTAGGAACTCTGGAGGGCACGGGCTTTGGGTCAAATCCCAGGATTGCTCTTGCTAGCAATGTCTTTGGCCAAGTCGCTTAACTTCTCCAAGGCTCATTCCATAAAATGGGAATAAATAACAAGACCTACCTCATAGGACTATTACTAGGAAAAATGAAATGACACACACGAACCATTTGTCTGGGAGCCTAAGGACTAAACAAATAGTAGCTACTATTACTTTCTGTCTTGTATAAGGAAACTGAGGGTCATGAGGCTTAAAACACATTCTCTGAGCAAGTGGCCGAGCTGGGATTGAGGCAGCCTGCCTCCAGGCTCTGTGCCCTTATCTAACAACACGCTGCTCCAGGAGCCCCAGCCGACCTTGGGGGCCTGGTCAAGCCTCCTGGGGTGTGGGGCCCTGGGACAGTGCACCCTGCACCCTGCACCCTCTGTGGCCTCCCCAACTCACAGAACACCTGCCGTTGACTGTCGTCCTGCAGCAGCAGCAAGCCTGCAGCTCCCTCCTGGCGGGCGGGTCACGGGAGCCTGCACACCACCTGCCAGGAAGGGCCAGGCTGGGAAAACGTTCCTCCTTGGAGCGGTAGTAAGGGAAGAAGCCACTGGGTGGTTCTGAGTCCTCCTCTCTGATACTCTGGTCTCCTCCTCGGTCCCTGCAAACCTCGGGCCGCGGGGCCAGCTCCTCCTCAGCCAGGAGCTGCCCGTAGGTGCGAAAGAAGGGCAGGTACTCCAAGGCCACCAGGGGCCCACGGGAGAGGTCAAGGTTGCTGTGGGGCTCACTGCCCCTTGAACCGGCGGCCTGCAGTTGCTGGGACGGGGGCTCTGGGTCGTCCTCCTGCAGGAGGCTCTGAGAGGGCAAGACTCTGGGCTCAGCCTCGCAGCTCTTCTGGGACGTCTGGGAAGAGAAGGGAGTTCCGTCTGTCACTGCACCCAACTCCCCCAGCCTCTCCAGCTCCCACCCCAGCTCCTGCCTACATTGGAGGCCAGAGGGGTTTTCCAAATGCGGCTGTCCTCGTTACAACCCAGGGTGGCTCCCATCCAGGGTCAGCTTACCCACAAGCCTCACCTGCAAGGTGCCCGCGGGACACACCAGCCTTCTTGCCCTTCGTCAGTCACACCAAGCAGGTCCCGCTTTAGAGCCTGTGCTCTAAAGACTCTCTTAGACTCTCAGCTCAGAGGAGCCTTCCCAGCCCCTGCCTCCCCCACGTGACTCCGGATCACTTCGCCCTTCACTTCTGCACTGAAGCATTTCTCTTAGTCAGTGGTCTGCCTGCTCCGTGTGTGCGGTGGTCTTTGTCTGGTGTTCCTGGCTCATTGTAGGCACTCAGCCTATGCTTTTCCAACAAATGATCAGTCTAGTCTGCTCTCAGTGCATCTCATAGGCCCTTCCCTCTGTCCAGTTCAGCCACATAGACCTTCTCTAGGTGCTTCTTACTTGCCAAGCATCCTCTTGCCACAGGGCCTTTGCACTTGCTAATGCTCCTGCTTGGAATCTCTCCCCTCTCCTTCTTCCTAGTTGACAACTTCTCCAGCTCTTGGCTTAAGGTCTCTTCCTGTAGTCCCCTGGTCTGGTTGCATCACTCTACCATTGACTCCCCCCATCCTGATTCCTCTCATTCAAGGCACCCAGTCCTCTGCTGTGAAACATTTGTCTGCATGATTACTTGATTAATGCCTTTCATCCTACAATTTATAAAGTCCACCAAGGCAAAGCCCATCTGTCTTCCATATCCCTGGAGCCTAGAAGAGCCCTGGCGTACAGTAGATACCAGATATTGGAAGAAATGAAAGGAAGGTTGGAGGGAAGGAAAGAGGAAGAAAGAAAGAGTACTGAACTGGGCTTGGCCAGGAACAAAGTCTTTGCCAGACTCAATGTCGACAGGAGGGAGAAGCCATTTCTTGTGGGGAGGGTGGGGTGGAGAACGAGGAATTACTTCCCAGGCCCTGAGGGAACATAGGGACCCAGAGCACCTGTCAGTGAAAAGCCAGCCCATGCTCCACCTTTGCCTGTCAGGGCCACGAGTACATGGTGGGGTCCGTGGGGTATATGTGTGGCCTCTGGGCCCCTATTGGAGGACCCTCCCAATAGGAAGGACCTACTGTGGTCTGGCCGAGGCCTTCTTGATGCTTGATGGGGACTCTGGGCCTGAGTGCCCCTCCCTCGCCACAGGCCACGTGGTGGCACACGCTCCTGTGGGCAGCTTGAGCCCACGGTCCCCATCGTAAGTCTTAACCCTTGCTAAATGCCTGCTGTCCTGCTGACTGCAACTTCCTGGAGAGTGGGTACCAGGCCCTCTTCTGAGTTCCACGTGTCTCGCTCACGCCACCTTTGCTGAGTTTCTACCACTCCCCAGACACTCCATGGGCACTGCGCTGTGCAGTCCTCTCTTTCCGGGAATCCTAAAGAGGCCTGTGAGGAGAGACTTGCCTTTCCAGCTGGGTTGTGCCAAAGAGACAGGAGAGACTAGCAGCAGTGCTGGGGTTTGAGCCCGAGTCTGCCCTGCTCTGAAGCCTGTGGTCTTCTCACTGTGACTTACACGGTATCGTGGGTTGAACCATGTCCCCCACAGGAAATGAGGTCCTAACCCCTGGTACCTGTGAATGAGACCTTATTTGGAAATAGGCTCTTTGCAGATGGAACCCAGTTAAGATGAGGTCATCCTGGATTAGAGTGGGCCCTAAATCCAATGACTGGTGTCCTTATAAGAGGAGGGAGATTTGGACACAGACACAGGGAGAATGTCACGTGACAATGGAGGCAGAGACTGAAGAGATGTTGCCACAAGCCAAGAAATGCCAAGGATCGCCAGCAGCCATCAGAAGCCAGGAGAGAGACAAGGAGCAGGTGCTCCCTCTGAGCCCTGAGGAAGGAACCCCGCCCACACCTTGATTTTCGCTCCTAGACCTCAGAACTGTGAGAGGATAAATCTGCGTTGTGTGAAGCCACCCAGCTTGTGGTGACTTGCTTCCGCAGCCCTAGGACACTAGTTCACGCAGGTTGGCTGGATGGCTGGTTGCGTGGATGAAGGGATCTGGCCTAAGGATGGAGACTGGCAGCACTCTCTCAGCCCCACCTGGCGAGCAGCTTGTGGGGAGAGGCCCATCGCCATGACGGCAGCCCCCTCTGTGGGCTGGGCTCACCTAGGCCTTACCCTTCCTGCCATGTGGTAGTGCTGGCCCAGCGTGGACCTCCCTGCCGGGGGCCAGCAGCTCTCCTGAACCGCAGCCTTTCCCGCCTGGGTCCTGGCTCCACTTCACCATCCAGGCCTGGATTGAAGGAGGCCAGGTGTGCCTCCAGGTCCCCAGAGGGGCTCGGCAAAATGGCACGTGCACAATGCTGCTTGCCCTGTCCCTGGGACACCGCCTCCAGAGGCCGTTCCAGAGTCAGCAGTAGCCCCGAGTCATGACAAGATCAAGTCTCATCTTCACAGTCGGGCTGAAAAGACAGAGCCTCCTCAGCAGGTGCCTTCCTCCTGACCTCCGCTTCCCCCTAGCAAATCCCCCTCTGCCTGTCAGAGAAGATTCCATCGTGAAGTCACAAGGCCTGGTGCCAGGCAAGAAAGCCAGATGGCTCTGTTACCATGGAGACTCCTGCCCAAGCGCCCAACACCTGGGATCATCACCTGCTTCTTAATTCAGCTTAATCCAGCTCTCCCCCAGAGACTCAGGGGGACAAAGGGAAGGCGGACATCTTCTGTAATCAGATCAGTTCTCCACGACGGGGCCAGTGAGCTTGCTCAGGGACTTGTGCCCCGAGACTTGTGGAGTCCCCCAGGGCCTCTGGCAGGAGGTGAGGAGGAGTCCCAAGGACTGCCGCCCAGGGCGTCTGGACGTCTCCTTACCTGGGGGCCCCAGTCCCCTTGGGGATGCAGCCGAGACCTGGATCTCTGCTCTCCATCCCAGCAGCCCCTCCTGTGTTGTCCTTCCCTGGTCACGAGTGAGCACGACGTGAGACGGCTGTGGAAGGACTGATTATGCCAAATGCCTGCTTTCTCCCATGGAGCCAGCAGCCCCGGCTTCTCTCCCAGGTCACCTCCCAAGTGTCCCACCCACTGGGTGATTCCCACATGCAGTCCTCACTACAGACTTTCAAGTCAGAAAGTGCATCACTGTTAGGCCATTTTACAGATTGGAGAGTTGAGCCTCAGCACTAGGACAGCCTGGAGAAGAGGACTTCAGAGTTACACTTTAGCCTGAGGGCTCAAGACAGGAGAGCCCCAGCCCATCATGGGGAAGCCACAAGGTCTGGGCGTCTCCAGGACCTCAGGCTTCCGCAGTGCAGGATTCCAGGCAAAGCGTGACCCATCTCTCTGCCCTGGGACCCATGGGCTGCTGGGCCATTTGAGCCCACTTTTCTCTTTTAATAGACTTAACTCTCGAATCCATGTGGAAGTGATTTTTTGTAAGTGGTAATAGATAAGGCTCTAATTTTATTTTATCTTTTGAATGGTTAGTCAGTTGACTCAACATCATTTATGAATAATTTATTTCTCCCCCAACCTGATTTGAAATACCAAAGTAAACCCACGTTCTAAGTTCTTAACTATTTCAAACACAAGTCAGTTTCTCGAATTTATTGCTCTGTCCCTCTCTTTGTCTCTCTTTGTACCAATACCATATTGTTTTGATCTCTTTAGTTTTATCATAATTTCAATTCATGTTATACAGTCATCTTTTAAAACATCAACTTTATCAAGGTCTGATTTACATACACTAAAAAGTATATGGTTCACCAATACCAATCAATCTATACACTAATGTAACAATCCCAGAATTAATATACAGCAGTACTTCTTTTCAAGTAATCCCCTCTCTGCTTCCCAACCCCAAGCAACCACTGATTTGCTTTTTGATGCTACTGATTCATTTTGGAATCACACAATACGTATTCTTTTGTGTGAAGCTTTTTATTCCACATTTGAAGATTCATCCCTGTTGTGGCACTGTTCGCTCCTTTTTATCAATGAGCAGTACACCATCGTACGGCATAACAGTGTGTTTATCCAGTCATCTGTGTAGAGGCGTTTCCGTCATTTCCATTATAAAGATGCTCTGAATAGGTACAGGACTTTATGTGGGCATAGTCTTCATTTCTCTTAGGTAAATACCTTGGATGCGCGTAGCTTGATCTCATGGTAAGTGCATGTTTAACTAAATAAGACACTGCCACACTATTTCCAAAATGGTTGTACCATTTTTACATTCTCAACAGCAATGTATGAACATTCTAGTTGCTTCACATTCTTGCCATCACTTTAAAATTTTTGCCATTCTAGTGGGTATATGGTGGTATGTTATTATGGTTTTAATTTGCATTAATTACTAACGACACTTAGCATCTTTTCACGTGCATGTTGTCAATTTATGTATCTTCATTTGCAAGCGTCCAAATGTTTTGCCAATTTTAACAACTTTATTATCATTAAAGTACTATAAACTGCATCTATTCAAAGTGTACAATTTGATAAGTCTTCACTTATGTCCACACCTGAGAAGCCATTACCACAGTCAGGTTAACAAATATTTTTATCAACCCCCCCAAATTTCCTCTGGCACTTCTGTAATCTCTCCTTCCCTCCAGGTCCATCCCTAGGCAACTATGACCTGCTGTCACTAGAGATTATTTTTCATATCCTTACCCTTTGGGAAGTTGGTAGAGCCTCTTGAATATGTCAATTTATGTCTTTCACCATATTTGGGAAGCTTTAGGCCAAATATTCTTCAAGTATTTTTTTCCCAGTTTACTTCTCCTCTCCCTCTGGGACTCCAATGACACATATGTTATTTTTAAAATATATATTTTCCCACAGATCCCTGGGGCTCTGCTCATTTTTTTTTCTAATTTTCTTTTTTCTCTGATCCTCAGATTGTGTAATTTCTATTCATTTCTTCAAGTTTACAGGTTTTTCCTCTGGTCATCACCAGTCTGCTGTTGAAATCATCCAGTGAACTTTTTAATTTCAGATTTTGTATTTTTCGGTTCTAATAATTCCATCTGGTTCTTTTTTATAGTTTTTATTTCTCTGCTGAGAACTACTACCCTTTTATTCATTCTGAATTTTTTTTTAACCTGATGGAGCACGGTTATAAAAGCTTCTTTGAAGTCTTTGATAATTCCAACACATGGGTTACCTTGAAGCTGGCATCTCTTGTCTTTTCCCTTGAGAAGTGGCCACATTTTTCTGGTTCTTTGTATGCTGGGTAATTTTGAAATGTCCTGGACGTCGTGACTATTACGTTGTGTAGATTTGGGTCCTGTATAGCATCCTCTGGAGACAGTTGATGTTTTTGTTTTAGAAGGCAATCAACTCTGTTAGGTTCAAGCTGCACGTTCTGTCTTACCTTCTGTATGCAGTGGTTCAAATCTGAGTTCAGTTTTCTAAGCCTTTGCTGTGTTGTGTTGTAGTGGTGGTTTGGGTCTGTCCTGAACTTACATTATTTAGTGATTAGGCTAAAAATATGGGTCTCTGAAATCATACAACTCATTTAAAAAAGTTTTTATGCACACGGTTGAAACCTGATTTTGGTTCTCAAAGCTTGGCTGTGCTGGTTTGGGTCTGTCCCACTCATGTGTAGCTCAGGGGTTAGGTCAACACTTGTATGCAGGTTTGAAGAGTTAAGGGACCTCTTTTCTGGCTCTGTCTCCTCCTGGATTTCCCCCACACTCTCTGTCCTTCCAGGGTCCCCTTCCTTTCACTGTTGCTTTTGATACTGTGGCCATGGAGTTGGCCCTCTAGGTGAGACAGACAGACAGACACAGAGACACAGAGAGAAAAAGAAGGAACCTAGTAAAACTACCCCTGCATGGATCACTTGTCCAAGTTTTGACTCTCCTCCACAACCTGTTTCATCTGCTTTTTAGAGTTCTCAGGTAGTTGGTTTTTGTATCTTGTTCAGAATCTTTAGTCATAATCAATGGGAGGAATGAACGATAGTGACCTTACATTATCACGCCAGAAAAGGAAACTCCTTTTCAAAATATCTTTTTTGTAAGGTTGTCTGTCTTATTGTTATGTTGTAAGAGCTTTTATATATGCTGGATACAAGTCTTTTGTCAGAAATATGTATCGTGAATATTTTCTACCAAGCTGTGTCTCACCTTTTCATTTTCTTAACAATGTCTTTCTAGGGAACAGAAGTTTTTAAATTTGATGAAATCCATTTTTTTTTCATTTGTGCTTTTGGAATCCTAAGAAATCTTTGCCTATCCCAATCTTGTGAAGATTTATTTCTGTTTTCTTCTGGAAGCTCTATAGCTTTAGCTTTTATATTTTGAACTATGATTCTTTTGAGTTAATTGACATGATTTGATTTATTTTTCCATTTTCAAGATTTATTTTTCCATTCTGCTATCCATTATGCCAACACTACTTGTTGAAAAGATTTTCCTTTCCTCCACTGAAATACTTCAGCACCTTTGTCAAAGCTCAGTCATAGATGTGTGGGTCCATACATCCTGGACTCTCTGTTCTGTTTCGTTGATCCATACCACACTGCCTTGATTACTGTGATCAGAGTTTCTCAATCTTGGCACTACTGACATCTTGAGCCAGATGATTCTCTGCTGTGAGGGCTATTCTTTGCATTGTAGGATATTTAACAGCATCCCTGGCCTCTACTCACTGGGTGCTAGTAGCACCCCTTCCCCTGAGTTATGACAACCGAAAATGTCTCCAGACATTGCCAGATGTCCCCTGGGGGGAAAATAGCTTTCAGTTGTGAACCATTGCTATAAATTTACTATATTCCTTGAAATCAGCTACAGGAGTCTGTCAGCTTTGGTCATTTGAAAAAATATTTTACATTTTTAAAATATAAAAATAAAAACATACTGTAGGTCCTTTGCATTTTCATATAAATTTATGTTAACTTCTAAATATTTCAAGTTTTATATATATATATATATATTTAGTTAATAAAATATACGCTTTTGAGTGTACAGATCTATGAATTTTGACAAATGCACACGAACACGTAATCATGACCTTAATCAAAATATAGAACAGTTCACCTCCTGCACTGTTGGTGGGAATGTAAATTGGTGCAGCCACTATGGAGAACAGTATGGAGGTTTCTTAAAAAACTAAAAATAGAGTTACCACATGATCCT